CAATAAGCAAGTAAACAGACACTTACTTTTGATTCCAAAAATGCAGCCTCATGCCTGCAGTGGCTTAGCCTAGAAGCTGGGGGGCACTAGAGCATACTTCCCTGCTCAGCCAAAGCAGACAGCTTAGACCAAGGCTAGCCCACCCACCCTGCAACGGGAGGTTTGCAGGGGAGGTGCAAAGCATTCTGGGATGCTGGGGTACTCTGAGTTAACTTGCATCTGGAAGGGATCTGGGACAGAAGTTCAATAAACCGATTTAACCTAAATCAGTTAAATCTGATACAACACCCACTCACATTTATCTTAAACTGGTTTCAGCCATTTTGAAAGGCATTTATATGCACTGAATTTCTGTTACAAATTTGAACCGGTTTCCAATCCCTTACACTGCTTATATGTAACTTCTGACCCTCGCCTTTGAGCTTTCTCCCAGGAGAAGCTGGTCTTTGAATTTTAATAGGATAAATGGGCCTAGAGTCAAAGGTATTAACGTGATCCGGTCACTGTACAAATTTCAACACTGGGTTAGTGTAGTGATACTCAGCCAGGGTGCTGTGGCACCCTAGAGTGCCTTGAGATCCTTTCAAGGTTGTCACATGGTACCATGTAATTTTAGCACATTTAGGTGTGCAACCATGACTCGCAAGATAAACCCAGATATTTCAAATTGGAAATCCACAGTGTTAAAAACATTCTGATCTGTTGTAGTGTTCTAAGTTCTTTGTAACAGAAGAATTGCTTCGTTATCCTTCTGTAGAGAAAAAAATGAGTGAAAACTAAGAGCTGAAATTTTTCAAGGGGATGTCTCAAGTCTGTGAAGGTGTGCCTTTACCCTAAAAAGGCTGAGAACCACTGGGTTAGTGTTTTGAGTAAACAGATTTTGGTCTGCTTATTTCAATGTTAAAAAAATCTTTTAAGCTTTTCATTAGATACAGAAAAGAGTAAGAAACAGCTATATATAAAGTCTTAAATATGCTTTCACTTTAACAGTATCCCTTATTTCCATTTTCTTGAGGTGTAGAAAAATTTGATAAAGAACTTTTGCCTTCCCTCCCCCACAACTAATCCTGACAGTCTTTTAGAAGGTCATTGAAGACTGTAATTACTAACCTTTTTAGAAAATAAAGTTAATTGAGAACTATTGTTGCTCTCACTGTTGGAGTCTGATCCTGTACCCTTGAAGACAGAAGATAGATACATGCATACAATGGAGAGAGAAAAGAACAGGAGAGAAATAAAAATGCAGCTTTTGTTTCTGGTGCTTACTCTATATTGTATCCTCATTGCTGTGTTTGTCTATCATCTACTATAAGCCTGGAAAACTTGTAACAGTATTGGGCTGTTTGAGACATTGCTTTTAGCTGATCATCAATCATGGGCCTGCACTAATATTGAAAATGATGTGATCTTGACTAGCTAAACCAGAATCTCTTTTAAAAAGAAAAAAAAAATGAGCGAGAAGAAGAAATAAATGGGAAAGAAGGAGGAAGCATGTGGGGGGCGGGGAGTAGGGAGGTGGAATGGCATTTGTTTTTGTTTTTTTTATATACATGCTTTTAATTTTGGAGGTCCCTTGTTCTGTTCTCTGTGTTGAGCCCAAGAAATCTGGGGGTGGGGTTTTAGAGATGATGCTTGTCTGAGCCTGCCTCAGCCCATACCTATCTATTCTAGTACAGCTACATCAGCTTCTCTGGCCTCGGTCCCTGCTTAAGTGGCTTCCTAGTGCAGAATTTAACATAAACACAAGACTGTAAAGCAGTGATTTTTCAACCAGGGTGTTGCAGGGTGCTGTACAATCCTAGGTGTGCAAACACCTATGTAAAATTCACAAGATTAAACCCTGAGATTTCAAGCAGGTATCCATAATGTCAAAAACATAATATTAATGATCTGTTGTGGTCTTTCTGAGTTGTGTGAAACGAAATAGTGATTTTTTTTTTTTTCTGTACAGTAGTATGAAAATGATTGAAAGCTAAGAGCTGGTATTTTCCTTGAGTCTAAAAAGGTTGAGAGCTATTGCTTTAAAGGATGTTCAAGGGTTTGAGCTGGTTGTCAGAGTTAAAGTATGCAGCAGACGCTGCAAATTTGGGAGTGGTAATTTTTAACTAAACTGATGAAAATTTTGTTCTGTTTTGCCAGATGCATTTCTGTTTCCAGGGACTTTTTCAAGCTATGGAATGTATACACCCTTCTAGAAATTTGTAAGAATGCTTTTGTAACAAAGCATTACACAGCCTCATGTAATAATTAGACCAGACAAGTGTTCAAAGAAAAGTTAGGTTCCAGTCCTAAAATGGTGGCAGTGGCTCCGGGGGAGGGAAGAGGAGGAGGGGAGACTATGGGCTGTGGGCTGCATCCAGACATCTAGGCCTGAGGGCATATAGTGATTTTGTAACTTTTTAGTGGCTCCCACTATTAGTTTTTTAGCCAAAAGGCAACAAGATCCTTTCCCTCGTTTTGCCTCCACTTCCGCAATCACAATAGCAATATTATCCTCCTTGTCATGGTCTGGATTTTCCCTGGAATGCTGGAACTAGCTCACTGACAATAGAATTATTTTTCATTACTAGCCTGGGAATCTCGCTGAAGAAGCAGTTTATAAACCAAGATTGTGCAGCTGTAAAAAATGAGATTTGTAGATACTGAAGTGATAAATATACAATGAAAGATTTGAAAACAAGTTAAATGAAGCATAAGCATAACACACACGTAGCTGTGGAAATCGAGCATTAATGACAAGCATACTAGTAAGAGTAAATGATATGTAAGGCAGTGTGGTGATCTAATGTTGTATTTTGGAGTATGGGCAAAAGGAAGTAGATTGAACTTCATTCTATTTGTTTTCACATTAAACTACTTTCCGTCACACATGAGGTTTGAAGCCACAATAACATTTATAATGGACACTGGAAATATGAACACTGTTATCCACTGTCTGTTGATTTTTTTTGTTTTTTGTTTTCTGTAGTTTGTATAACTATGAAAAAGGTGCTTTAAAATATGATTTTAATAATTCTACCCGTTCCATGCAAGAGAAACTTTGTCATTGCAGTTTTCTGTGTACTAAGTAGGCTCTTCTCGAATTAGATTCGAGAATAATAAGGTGTTTTTTTTTTATAAATTGGAATAATGTAAGCAAGCAGCACACAGTCTTCATATTGGTTTATTGGTGCGTGTAATCTTGACTTGCAAAACTGCTATTCTAAACTTGGATCTCTTTTAGATTGATAGGAGCATGAGAACTGCCACATTGTACCAAACCAGCAGATAATCTAGTTCCATGTTTTGTTTAGCACTGTTTAGACCCAGATCTTTCAGTGGGATACGTAGAAACACTACAGTAGTCAGATGTTGAATCACCTGTTCCACTTCACCATTGACTCTTTACCCAATTTTTGACTATAAGAGATTAGGGTAACCTTTGATGTTAGAGGTTCAGTAGCCTTTCCAATAGTTTTGTTTACTGATGTTGATTTACAATTATGAATATTCTTGATTTCCGTATGCACTTCCAAATGCTAAATTATTAGCCTTTACAACTTCTGGGACTACCTCCACTATGCATTACTTGAAGAAATGTTTCCTTTTTTGCTTTATGAGTTTCAGCTTCTTTAATATCTGCTTCCTGAGAGAAGCAGTTAGCCCTGTTATTTTGAAGTTGTAGTTAGTTCTGTTAGTTTGAAGTCAGTCAGAAGGCAGGGTAGAAACAGAATTTTCCAGTCTAACCTCTCTATACCATTCAGTAGTATATATACTTTTATCTTAACACTGCTATCTTCATCTCATTTCTGAAGTCTGATCTTCATATGAGAGGTATTTTTGGGGTCTTTTATTAACCTGCTATGAACCCAGGAGTGTGAATATAGGAAGGGCACCTGCCCTGGGCAGCCTTTTCCTTGGTGCCACCTAACAGTGTTGTCACAATTGCCCTGTACTGTGTGAGGTATACCACCTGCAGCAGGATGATCTCCTGCACAGGGTGTGCCTCTTGTGGCAGCTTCCCACCTCCAGTTCGGAGGAGGTCACATATGTCAGGGCCCCTGCAAGATTTTGCCTCTCCTTTCTGAACGCTGATCTCTGCATCCTAACTTTTGTAATATCCTTTTTGAGATGCAGTGCCCAGTAGAGCACATGGTGTTCCAGATGAGGCCACACTTTTGATTTATGTGCAGGTATTATCTGCTTGTTATTCACCATAGCATTCATAATTCACTCTGTCTTGTTTCTTTTGACTGCATCTGATCCTTGCAGAGCAACTTCTGTTGAACTGTCTACAGTGATACCTAGGTTCCTTTTAGTGAGCTGCTGCTGCAGCTTAGATCCTTACCAGGTCTACAAGTAATTTAAAATATTCCTCCATTATGCATTGCTTTACATTGAGTGACTTTGAACTTGCTATCGTGTTATTCTTTCATCTATCATATGTTTCTCCTGAAATTCTTACAGTCCTCTCTGGTTCTGACTGGCATAAATGACACTGTCATCTGCAGTTTTTACCACCTCCCTGTTTACCTGTCCTGTATCTCTCCCCTTTCAGGTTATTAACAAATGTATTAAACAATGATCAAACTAGGAGATTTTTTTGCAATAGGGGCATGAATGAAGCTATACAATATAATGATACAAGTTTATGTTTACAGGGAAATGGTCTTCTTTGTGTTAGAAATAAAACTAGCTGTGCCAATCTCTCTGTTACAGACTTTATCCAGAAGAATTTCAAATCCGTATCTGGAAAACCCTTCAAGCAAGGTATTTTTTTATATCTCATTTTAATTCCATATGCTAAAAGATATAGTAGTAGGAATATATTTTTTGCTTTATTTTTTCCTTTTAAGCATGGCTTTCGACTCTTTTCTGAATGTAGCCTACATTTTTTTTTATCCAGTTGTAAAATGCAGGGCTTGTATATGTTAGAAAATTATTACTGGTGAAACTAAATTTATTTAACCATATCGGTGTAAGCACCCAATGCTGACTCCCTTCACACAACTTTAAACTGTGCTTTTAACACTAGATCAGTTAAGTAGCTTTGTGAGTTTCCTTTTTGGATGCTTGCTTACTTATTGTGTGTCCTATTTCTCTGTTAATTTAGATTTATGGAGAGAGTTCTTCTTGTGCTGGGAGAGCTCTCAGGAATATTTTTACAGTTCAAGCTTCTGACCTGATAAAGGACAGAGTATATGTTACAGGAATTTGCAGGTAACACTAGTTCATTATCTTTAATCAGCTTTGATTATTCTCTGTTTGTATTGTGTTGTGCCCTAACTTGAGAGATGTAGGGTTTATTCTTTATGCATTCTTTATCTAAAATGTCTGCTAAAAAGACATGTTTGAAACAGCTCAGACACCTGAGTATACTCATCTTGTATTATTCTCTCATTTGTCTGAGAGAGGCAGTGTAGGATGAGGTTTTTTTAATTGACAATTGTGTTTAGAACTCCAATAAAGATGTTGTACTTATATGGGAGGATAATTGGTCCTATTTTTATTTAGACAATGATTCTATCTGTTATTTGCAGACTGTCTCTACAGTGAAACTAAGGTTATCCATTTGCATCTTGCTAATGTGCATGTTTCTTTCTGTTTTGAGTAATTCAATAATGGCAGGTTTATTTTAATGCCATTTATTCATTCATATGTGTAACTGTGTTTAAAAACAATATGCAAGTTCTACTTTGGTTGACTTGTAATGAGAGATTAATTATACTAGAATGTGCATTGCTTCACTGCATTACTAGTAAAGGACTCAAACTGCCCAGGTCTTCATTGTGCTTATATAATGCACAGCTGTACTGTTTAAGTCTGTACTTAAAATTTTAATCATGAGGCTGTAGGATTCAGATTGACTTCAGCTCTTAACATTCGTACGGGCTGTTCTTACTTCTAATCTCAATTTATATATACAAAAAAAGAATATAATAAAGTGTATTGCAGTGTTATGCAGGAAGTATTAACAAGGTATGTGAATTAATTCATTTATCTTGGGGGATGATGAACATCTAAAGCCCAGGGACTTCTGTTTGTAATGCCCGAGTCATTCCAAATAAGACTTCCAGCAATGGCTTTCCTCTTACAGGTGACCGGAATAAACCAAAAAATTGCTGTAGTATATAGGGTTTTCTCTAGGAAACAGAAGAGGTCATTGCATGATTATTATTAGCCATCTTTAAAAGTATAAAATACAAATATTCAAAATACATGTTTTTGCTTGTGTTTAGGAGAAGCTGTGTTGGATCACAACTGGTAGACTGGCTCTTGCAGCACTGTCCTTTTGTGAAGTACAGATCCACAGCAGTTGGTGTATGGCAGCTTCTATTGGACATGGGAATTGTGTTATCAGGTCAGTGTTACAGAAACAAGTACTGCTGATGGTGTCAGTTAGGTAGTCAGCTTCCTCTAGTTACTGCAAGGTTTATATCAGTTTCTGGAAGAGCAGAAAAAGAATGAAAAGAGAAAAATGCAGGTTGATTGGTTTAATTAAATGGTGACTTCTTTTACTAGTAATGTGGTATAGACTTATTTATACGACCTTTCGTTTCATAAATGCACGAGATGTGTCACATTTTCTGGCAGTTTTTTCTTTTCTACTTTTTGAATGAAATTTTGTATTTGCCTCTTTGCAGACAATGGGCATTAGGGCTGCGCAAAGCTTTGGTTGTCAATTTGATTCAGCCCAATTCGGCAACCTAATCTCTGAATCCAAATTGAATTGGGAGACCCATTAAAAGGTCCGAATCTAATCCAAAGGCTTGGAATCTGTTCAAAAAAGATTTCCCCCTTTACCCAAGGACAACGCAGGTTTCTCATCTTAATGGAGAATCCTTCAGATTTTGCAGTTTTGCAGAGTTCCAGCCTGCAAGGGAGTGGGAGGAGGGCGTTCAGTCTCTTCCAAACCTTGGGGGCTCGGACTGTAAAGAAGTTTTTCCTCATGTCCAGCCTGAAACGGTCGCAGAGGAGATTGACCATTCAATCTTGTCATCCCTTGGGGTGCTGTGGTGAACAGATGTTCCCCCAGATCCTGGTGAACACCCCAAATAAACTTACGGGTGGCCACCAGATCACCCTGAGCCTGCGCTTTTCCAGACTGAAAAGCCCCATGGCTCTCAGCGTCTTGTCATAAGGTCTGCTTTCCTGACCTCTGATCATGCACATGGCTCTCCTCTGCAGTCTCTCAAGCCTCTCCACATCTTTTTTTGAATTGTGGAGCCCAAAACTGGAAACGGTACTGCAGCTGAGGCCTCACCAAGGCCGAGTACAACGGGAGAATGATGTCCTGGGATCTGCTTGAGAAGCATCTATGGATGCAAGCCAGCGTTTTGCTTGCTTTACTAGCTGCAGCATCACATTGAAGGCTCATGTTCATCTTGTGGTCAATCATGGCCCCCAAGTCCCTTTCATCTGTAGTGCTAACCGGCGTAGTACTGCTGAGCCTATAAGGATGCTGCGGGTTTTTCCTCCCAAGGTAGAGAACCTTGCATTTTTCAGTGTTAAACACTATCAGGTTCTCACCTGCCCATTTCATGAGTCTGTCCAGATCTGCCTGGATCACCCTTCTATCCTCAGGTGTGGATGCTTTA